TATGTTCTAAATTATAAGATGTTGTAGCTTTCTCCATTCCAAATTATAAGTTGTTGTAGCTTTTTTTAAGATACATAAATTTTGCTATGTGTCTAGACATAATTTATATCAGATGCATAACAAAAATTATGTATCTAGAAAAGCCAAAACAACTTATAATTTGAATTGGAGGGAGTAATTCACTAATCTTGCCCACGAACACTTTCAACAATGATTTAGGCAAGTTGGATAGTTTGGTCTAAGCTCTAGTTTGGTCCAGTAAAAAATTGCCGCCTCACTCGAAGTTAGATGGTCCTATCCACCAATCCAACCATACACTTAAATGAAACTAGTGGTTCATCTCCACTTTCACCCACCCAATCAAAACTATATAATTTTGTTTGTTGATAAGTGCATTTTGTTTGGTTGATAAAAGCCTCTTACTATTTTCGTCAATGTTTTTCAAGTAGGCAGAATAGTCATTTTAGTTCCTCAACCATATTTCAAGATTTAGTTTCATCCTTGAACTTTCAAAATAGTTGTTTCAGTCCTCGAACTTTACTTTAGGTTTAGTGTCATCCTAGGACTATCAAGTGATCATTTTAGTCTTCAAATTTTGTATTTTGGGCTCAATTTCATCCATGAACTATCAAGTGCATTTCATTCTAGTTCCTAAATGCTCATAGTTGAGGGATGAAATTGAGCCCAAAGTGCATATTTTAAGGACTGAAATGGTCACTTTAATAGTTCTTGGATGAAACTAAACCTAAAATTAAAGTTTGAGAATTGAAATGGTCATTTTGAAAGTTCAAGGACGAAACTGAGCCTCAAACTATAGTTGAGGGACCAAAACTTCTATTTTGCCTTTCAAGCAGAAAAGTAATACTATACTCCATCCGTCTTAAAATATAGTGTATAAAAGAGATTCAACAATTATACTAGTTTGCATTAAATAAGCATACAAATTTAGTAGATATTATATTATTGTTACTGTCATTAATCAAGCAATCCCTAGTTGATCACGCTGCTGATTGTTCTATACATGCAGGATTTAAACTGATTATGAAATAAAGCACCATGCATGGTGCACACGTCTTTTGTACTCTTTCTTATTCTGTTTTAAAATTTCAAGATACACTTTATTTCTGAACAAATGAAATTGAGCTGTGCCAAACGAGGCCGAAGTATCTTATACGATCGTGGGTTGATGAGAAAGATTCAAATGAAGAACAAATTTGTGGTGACAACTGACAGTGTCCTAGAAGGTGCCAAGTCCAACCACTTACATGATGGGGCCCAGCAATTGAAGGAGACAGTTCTTGCTCACCCTCCTGATTCTTTTGCAGTGCAACTAGACCACTAATTAAGCTTCAAGAACACGATCAGGAGAAGCTAACACAAAATTCAGAAAGGCCACATGGGTTAGATTCCCTCTGTCAGTCCACGAGCCACACACACAAAAAAAAAATCGAAAATCTGTGGGTCATTGTCTTATCCAATATCCAATGCTGTGGGCGCCCATTGGTTTCTGAATAGGAAAAATCTTTCCACCAGTTTCTTCCCTTGTTCAGTACGTACGGCGAGACTTGAGAGATAGAATTCTGCAAGAGGACATTACGATTTTAAAAACATTTACAGATTTTTTTTTTTGCGAATTACAGAAGAACTGGTAAGGCCTGGTCCATCCTGGGCTATGTAAAGCTACTTGAAGTCAGAATAGTGGCCACAATCAAACGGAAAACAACAGTAAAATTAACATTTGATTTGTGCAGTCAAACCTAACTAACTAGTTTGATCAAATGATATTTATACAGTGTATATACTTTGTATATGTGAAGATCATATGCCTAATATCATAAAACAAGCTATATTATTAGATTTTTATAACCTTTCTTAAATACTTAAATATACACGATGCCAAATAATTTAATTTGTTGGTGAATTGGCATTTCTCGTAGAGTTGTAGGTCAGTAGATAAAAAAACATCACTTTCAGTAACAATTGAAGTAAGCTGATCCATCACATTCACCTAGACAAAGAAAGCAACGTTAGGGTAAATATAATTAGCACTACTGTGTCCTGTGTTTTGTCTGGGTTATTTGAAACAGGCAGTATCAAATGAAATAACCGGACGGTGCTCAAAAGAAAAGTACAAATAAAAAAAAACTATGGCGCCGTTCGGCTGGTTGAAAAACCAGCCGAAATTCACTGTAGCCGGCTGAAATTCACTGTTTACGCTATCACAAATTTCTCCAGATTTATTCAGATTCCTCCAAACGAACAGGGCCTATATATATATATATATTCTCCTCTCTTTGTCTCCACGTCATCGCGTCAATTTCTTGCCGCAAATGTCGAGCCACTTGTCCATACGATTCCTTTGCTCGTTGTCACCGCAGGAATATCTTCAAGTTTTCTTTTTTCCTCACCAATTAGCGAGGAGACTGATGTAACATGGCACTCCATCTAGTATCTAGTATATTGCAGGGTTTTGTTTTGTTCATACGTGAATACTGACTAATCAGCATGTATCACGGCATACATAAGTTTATCTATTCTTGATATAACGTCAATCACTACCAAACGAATTGATGAGAACTTTAGGTCAAAAATAACGGAGTATTTCTATTGTGCTTACAGACTACATATATATGTATGAAAATGGTCTGAGACTGAAAGCGATAGCGATAAACTGAATAATTGGAGATAAACCCTTTGGAACTGTATGTTCAATTTGGTGCGAATACTTGGTTAAAAAAAAGAATAGTTAGCACTATATGTGCGAATTGTTTTGGATTCCTAGTGGTTGAATACGTCTGGATCCGTGTTCTAGACTTTGCGTGAGTATATATTTGCTTCTCCACCCCACCCCAAGAGTACTGCAGGAAGGAGACAGGAGGAGGAGGGGCCCTTCTCCTGTAGTAGCTCAGCCAATCTGCAACTGTGTTGTGCTGCGTGTCCCATCCATGTACGTGTTTGGCAACATGCATGAAAAATGTTCTGAGCAGCTCGATTTCTGCTATGTCATTTCAGGCAGGCTAGCTGTTTTCTGAATTCATTGTGTTTCCTTTCGAATGACATGTCCATCATGAACGTAACAATCACCAGATTAATTAACCTCCAAATTAAATTAAAGCGGATCTGATCTACTACTACTATAGATTCTATCCGCTAGGAATTTTATCGGCTGATGAGAATCATTGGGACAGACTTCTTCTTCTTCTTCTTCTTCTTCTTCTTCTTCTTCTTCTTCTTCTTTTTGAGACGCATTGGGACAGACTTGTTTGACGATGGAAATCATGAATTGTACCTAACAGTGACCTCCTTCTATCCGATCCGGTGGGGAATTTTGCTTAATTAGCTTGTTGACGATGACGATCCTACCAAAAACAAGCTGGCGATCGAGGAGGTGAATCTTGATCCGATCCCTTTGAGCTAGAGGCTGTGATGAAGAGAATTTTGGTAGCCAGTGGTTACGTGCAGCCAACGGGCGCGGGGATGGAGACACGACACGACACGTCCGTTTCACTTTCACGTATGCTTATTAGTGGAGGTCGTTTTTTTTATGGCACACACAACCAATTATTGCATTATCTTAGCATATATATGGCTATACGCGAGGGGAAATTGCAAATGAGCGTGTGTGTTGGTGCGTGTCTAGCTAGTGGAGTGGAGCAACCTGGAGTGCAGCGTCAGTCACTGTTGTTGCTGAAAGAGTGGCGGATCGATTCCGTCCACCAGGGAACCGGCCCGTGAATCGATCAGTGCGTGTGGTGTGGGATTCCCCCGTCGCCTGTTTTCTGCTGGATGTCCCACAGGAGTAGGGACATGACACGGCTGGTATATTTATAGCAGTAGCAAAAAGCAAAACCAGGCCCGTATTTGATATTGACACTGTTTACTTCTCTTATAATCCATCTTTTTTAATTTATTTTTTCGGTATTTTTCTCTCGCAACAAATTAGCCGGCGGCAATACACGGCCACGGTGTGCTCTCGCCCTGGCGTACGTCTCCCACTCCCTGGCGTTTTCGAGAGAGTATTGGCGGCAATGCACGGCCACGGTGTGCTCTCGCCGGCCGGCAATATCTGCCGGAAGCGCCGGGGTCGTGGTCGTGGTCGTGGTCGTCGTGGGCTCGTGCACGCGTGGCAGCGGCTGCGCTTGGGCCCACCGGCCCCCGCTCGCGCGCATCACCAGCCTCGTCCTCGATCGGCTCACGTCGCGCGTACTGTGTCTGTGTCACCCACCATGGATGCTTGGACCCACGCTCCAGACTCCAGAGCCACAGACCCTTGTCCTGCCTTCCTGCGTCGTCTTCTCCCTCGCGTCGTCCGTTGCCCGGCTCCCACGCACGCATGGTCCCCGTCGCAAACGCACCATTGCTCGCGCTGATGATGGATGGATGCCGCATCGGCCATGATGGTCCGTCCCCAGATACACCCGTCAGCACAAACCTCTCTCTCTCTCCTTTCTTTCCTTCTCTCTTTCTCCAGAAGAGAGAAAACAAATAAACTTGGCCAAAGCTCTGAGCTTTTCCGTGTCAAATACGTGCACTGATGCCACACGCACTGATAGCCGGAGGGGTTAGATGGTAAGACACGGTTGATGCTATTCCCTGCAAGCACCGGCACTGCCACGTCACGTCCGTCCTCAGTTCACGAGACCCTCACCTTCGCGTCGCTGCTGCTGCTGTTTCCACAGTGAAACCACGGTGCGGCGGTGCGCCAAAAGCGAGCCGAGCCGGATATATATATGACAGAAAAGATTAGCAGCGCTGGATGACAGCTGGGGTCCACGTCACGCCATTAGCCGCACCGCACCCGCCTCCCCCCCCATAAAAACCGCCCCCGCCCTCCCCTCCGTCGCTCCATTCATTCACTCACCTGAAGAGTGTGGAAGGAAGCAGCAGCTTCGTATGCTACCTTGATCCATCAGCAGCTTCGTCTGCTTGGGGGGAGATTAGGAGTAGGTGTAGGATTACTAGTTACTAGGAAGGAGGTGTGACCGTGTGAGTAATCGAGGATGTTGGCGGTGTTCAGCGGCGGGGTGGTGGAGGTGCCGGCGGAGCTGGTGGCGGCGGGCAGCCGGACGCCGTCGCCCAAGACCAGGGCGTCCGAGCTCGTCGGCCGCTTCCTGGGGGCCTCCGAGCCGGCGGTGTCCATGCAGCTCGGCGACCTCGGCCACCTCGCCTATTCGCACACCAACCAGGCCCTCCTCCGCCCAAGGTATACATACTACTAGTTGCTGTTGCACCGTCCATAGTCCATACCTGCTCTGCTTGCATCCTCCATGGATGACGATGACGACGACGTTCCATGGCTGGAGGATCCTAGTACAGTGTAGTAGTATCTGTCTTTTATTTATTTGTTTGTTATATTAGTTTGGATGTTTGATCCGCCGTCGAGTCAAAAGTTACCAACCGCATGTATTCTCTCTCACACGTACAAAGAGGGAGATGGAGAGGGATAGGGAGAGAGACAGATATATAGAGATTCTGTTAGATAGTCATTAATCAGGCTGCTAAACTCGACTGTTTACGGAGATTTACTGACCATATATATTAGTAGTAGTATGACGAATCTATGGCTCACAAGCCACACCCCACTTGTGCAAATAATTGTTGGAGAGCAGACAGATCTTTCTCCTCCACCGTATCGGATGGCATGTTGCTTTTCTGAAACAAAAGTGGGCAATAATAAACACTGTTGTTTCCTCATCCGTTCCTGTAGTGCAGGACCATGCCACCAACTCTACCTGGCTTATCGTTTTCTGACCTGATAATAACTGTGAGCCACAAAAATTAGCTAGGCTAGGAAACCACTCCACGCCTAGTTTTGCGTACCACTGGGATTTTCAGGTCACCAAAAAGGGGATATTTATTTTTACAATATTATACATATGTATATACACATGGTCCAGAAATTCAGAAAACCAAGTACATACATATATATATATATATATATATATATATACACTGCACACCCCAATAAATACACTAGAAGAAGATGAGCAGACGGTTTGTTTGCTGGTTGGTTTCTGAGCTGATTTAGGCTCGCTGGTGCTGATTCGTTGTGAGAGAAAAACACTATTAGCTGACTGATTTGGGCTAGCTGACAAGCAGAAGACACTAGTATCAACGACACATGCAGCGTCTAGACATCTCTGGACATCGGTGCCTCTGCTTGATTTCCAAAGTTACCTGCGTCAAAGGGTAGGGTGATGATCAGAACACATCACATCATCATCACAAGGAAGAAACGGGACCGGGACGAAAGCTACACCGATACAGACGTCTGAGTTGACGTGGACATTCCGAAATATTATCATATGTTCTATTCGCTTTGCTGATAAGTCATAACAATTATTGTTGGCTGATTTGTTGTGAAAAAAATACTGTTCGTTGACTGAAAAAGTACGATTTATAAGTCAAGTGAACTGGATGATAATTTGTTTATTTTATCTCATGATATGAAAAAAAAGGAGGCCTTGGTTTTCCAAAAAGAAAGTGATCTTCCCCTATGCAGGGAGAGGGGCAGAGTGCAATTTGCACGTCCACATCCTGCCGCCACCACCTTACATAGACAAGACAACAAGAAGGTGCCGTCTGTTAGCTGACTTGCCAACAAACGAACCGTGGAGCGGAGCCTCATATTCTCCGTCTCCATTAGGCGGCTGCTGAGAATTTAGAATTACTATGGTTTAATGAAAGCGACAGGCCTATGCAATCTACTGGTTAATTGAATGAACACAATAAAATTTAATTACTAGATTCATGAGCAGTGAAAGTATTTAGTAACTCTGATTTGGACACTTTTTTTTTCTTTTCTTGTTGTTGTCGTAGAGCTCAAAGTCCAAATCCACATGCTTGGCATCATAGTACAGGGAGAGCACACGCACGGTATGGTAGTGATTGGTAGTCTGTGGGCAATCCGGCTTTGCTGCCCACAGATCTGAAGAAAAATAAAGGTAGTCCTGCACGCACTAGATGGGCCAGGAGGGCCCGCGGATGGGGCTATGATTTGTGGGCCCTGATTGCTCTGTGTGCTCTTCTGTCTTATCCTACCACTCTACCAGTACTAGGCTGATTCACTGAAGAAGTAGCATCCAAGGAACGAGGAATCCCATTCCTTCACTCCGTTCATTCAGTTTTGACCTTTTCTTCTTTCAGTGCTTACCCCTTTTCGTACATGTCAAGGTTCGTATCATGGAATCCATGTGTTTTCGCTTTTGTTAGGAACAAGCTTAAGTACTCTAATTCTCTGGGGTTAGGTGCATCTCTACCGCATCAAGTCAAAACATCCCACCTAATTAACTGAACTCTGAATGACATGATTACCATGTTCTTCGGTGAGCCATTCATTCAATAAACAGGTGAAACTGAAAGTGCTTGTTCTAACCAAATACACCCACCAACGATGTTCAGCATGCCGACGTTTCTCATATTTTTTTCCCCTACCCTACGCCAGTACGCCTGATAATGCATTGCATTGCATGCTCCGTGCAACATACAGTTGCTGAGTCACAAGTCACAGCTCACACGGACTGATGCCGACAAAACAAAATTTGTGTTCTTGCTGAATGCTGACCAGGTCGTTCGCGGCGAAAGACGAGGTGTTCTGCCTGTTCGAGGGTGTGCTGGACAACCTGGGGCGGCTGAGCCAGCAGTACGGGCTGTCCACCAAGGGCGCCAACGAGGTGCTCCTCGTCATCGAGGCCTACAAGACGCTCCGTGACCGGGCGCCCTACCCGGCCAGCTTCATGCTCGCCCAGCTCACCGGCAGCTACGCCTTCGTGCTCTTCGACAAGTCCACCAACACCCTCCTCGTCGCATCTGTAAGCTTACTATCTCTTAAGCAATGGATGGATGTGCAGTATCGCATTATATATGGTGATTCAGTCTATTTATTTACCTCGTATTCGTATCGGTGTGATGGGATTTGCTCTCTCAGGATCCTGAGGGCAAGGTGCCGCTCTTCTGGGGGATCACTGCCGACGGCTGCGTCGCCTTCTCTGATGACATTGACATGCTCAAAGGATCATGTGGCAAATCGCTTGCGCCTTTCCCACAAGGTAATTAACGCACGCGACCTCATCAAGCAACTGTGTGATCATGTCTTGGCTTGTGTGTTGCCAAGCACCAAATCTCTGAAAGTGTTGCTTGCCAACAACTGCAGAACGCAGTCTGAAGCTTAAAGTTTCTGTGCAGCAGTCAAAGAGCCCTCATCCTCAGTTAGTCATTTTAGCTGATCTCATATATGCTGCATTATTGTAGGTTGCTTCTACTCTAACGCCCTTGGAGGCCTGAAGTGCTACGAGAACCCCAAGCACAAGGTCACTGCTGTCCCTGCAGACGAGGAAGAAATCTGTGGTGCAACTTTCAAGGTAAAAAAATGGCTTTTATTCTTGGAGAAGATCAACTCCAGTTTTATGCATGTAGTTACCGTTACATCAGAGATGCGTCAATCATGCAAGGTCTAGCACAGTGCTAGTAATAAATCGGAGCACTCACAACAAGGAACTCTGCAGTCTGCACAGTTTTGTTCCTAGTGAGTAGGAATCATAATTGCAGAGGAACTGAGCATGACGATGCTAATTGACTTAACGACAGAGCTAACTGTTTTCCATTCAGATTTTATATATCTCTGCAGAATTTGTATATGATGCAATGCTATCTATGCGCTGTTGACTGACCCACACGAATTTGTAATTTGTGATTGCAGGTGGAAGGGTCTACAGTCCTGACAGCGCTGCATTATTAGGCGATTTCCGTGTGGAGGCGTGGATGTGGCGCAATGCAATGCAGAACTCTGTACATGGATGGTGGTGTAACATAGTGACAAGTCATATGTTCGTGCAACTGAATCTATCTGTATCATCTTTCATCATCATAAAAGAGAAGTACTGGAGGCACTTAAGGGATGATGCTTGTGTGTGTACCTGTATCCCTAGCTGTTCAACTTACATGGAACTTGGTAGTTGAGACATGGTTGCGTGGAACGTGAAGTGTGTAATTTGTTCCGAATAACAAAGCTTTGTTTCTCCATCGTCGTTATCCGTGTGATGACAGATGATGAATGTTGATATATATAGTTGCTTGATGCTGCAATAATTCAGAAGAAAGACTTGTACTAGTATAATACATACATTAACTCTAGTTTGATTTTGCATCCAGCCCAACCACAAAAAAGTGCAAAAGTTCAACAGGCTCACAGCAGCACTTGATGGGCTCGTACAGGCCCAGCCCGATATCTGTGGTCTTCTGGGCCAATGTCTATTGCCTCACGTCAATACGGACCGGGCCGTTTTGTTCAAGTCTCCGTTGGGCTAGGAGTAGCCCAGCTCTGTTCCCCACCTCTGCAACTGCAACCCGCCGGCGATCCGCATCTCAGAGAGCTTACCGGCTGCATCGCCTCCGCCGCTCCGTGGCCACCGGAGCTTGGCTGCGCCGAACCTACACTACACCCCTGCGGATGAATCGGAATACTGAGGGGGAGGAATCGGATTCCCACCACTGAATCCATTTTGGGGGTTGATTTCGACAGAAGGCATGCCAACCCACAGGTAAGCACAACTGACAATCTGAAAGCTTGCAGGGGTTTCTATGGGCAGGACGAAAGGCTTAACAGCGTGTTTCAGTTCTTACCGAAAAAGCATACTGCATTGCAGTATTTTGTATTACTGCCAAGATATTTCCCCGATTGATTGCTTTAACACAATTAAGATGAAAACCATATTTTAGAATATTGTTGTGCAAAGAGAGTATAAGATAGATATACAGGGACAGGGTCAGTAGGTACCATTTGTCTAGCTGTGCCATTTGATTCTCTCTCTCGCTCCTCTATTTCTCTTTGCATTAACACTTTCCTTTGGGAAACATTTGTACATTTTTTCCTCACAAAGCAACCCTATTGCTAACTCTTCTGTTGTTGCGTTGTCTGCTCGAAACCATGGGTTGATGAAACTGACATGACCAAGATCCATGAAGCAGCTAGTACGCTCAACAGTCAAGATAGAGGGGCTTCCTCCTCTCTAGGGAAGTGAACAGTTCTATTTTGTAGCTTTAACCCCAACTAGAAAACTCAGCGCGGGATGTGTAGTCAGGCCACCGCACCTGGTGACCGGTGAGGCAGCACTGCATCAGCCATCGGCAGGTGCCAATGTGACCCTTTTCGTCCTCGCTCGCTCCTAGGATTCCTAGTTGCCAACCAAAAAATCCCTTGGCTTCCCCACGAGCACAGGGAAGCACGCACAGAAAGGCTATGGAGCAATTTGAATTGCTCATTCAAACTGTAGTACAAAGAAAAGTCCTATATCTGTTGTGTCACAGAATTTTCAAGCTGTAGTACGTACAAACAAACGTAACAGTGATAGAAAAATGAACATTTCAGACAAGGAAACAAGAAAGAAAAGAGACTACTTCCCTTGTGTAAACGTCAAATAAATACTATGACTGAATGTAGTAGGGTTTATATATATATATATATATATATATATATATATATATATAAGGGAATGTAGTAGTTAGAACAAAGGGGGAATACATTTGTCTCACGGGAAGCAGGCAGAACCTACTCTTTGTTTGCTAAAAAGAAAAACCTGTTCTTTTCTGAAAGCAAACAAATTAGTGTTGCCATAAACTCAAGAAGCAACCAGGTCGGCTATACTCATCAACCTGATATGCACACTTATATATGTTTGGAGTTACTGGACCAAATTAACATGAGTATATGGCTCTGCAGATTAACGCAAGAAGCAAACCATGTGCTGCACGCTTGTTTATACCCTTTTTTTCCAGTTGTATTTCTTTGTACGAGATATACGTATAGTACATTTATTTTATTTGATTCGTCGTCCTTATCGAACTAGGGTTTTTGTTATATTAGGGTTCTGTGTCTCTGAGCCCCTGGATGGGAGGATACAATTTTATACTCCGATCGATAGGAGTACTCACTACTGGACGCAGGGTCTTTGCCGAGGGCCTGAAGCCCTCGGCAAAGGCTCTTCAGCCGTCGGCGAAGGATTTGCCGAGGGCAGCCCTCGATGAAGAACCCTCGGAAAAAAAAACGTCGGCGAAGAAGTCTTTGCCGAGGGCCTTTTTATCGCACACTTCGCAAAGTATTTGCCGAGGGCTAACAATGCCCTCGGCAAAGTAAAGTAGCCGTTAGGTACGCGGTTATTTTCTGACGGCGTGTTTTGCCGAGGGTGACATCTGAGCCCTCGGCAAAGAGCTTTTTTTGAATTTATTTGCCGAGAGCTATACCTGCAGGCCTCGGCAAAGACCTCTTTTTTTTTTTTTCTCGGAATTTCTTTGCCGAGAGCTATATCAAGGCCCTCGGCAAAGACCTACGTTTTATTTTTGTCTCGAATTTCTTTACCGAGGACCGTGTTCAAAACCCTCGGCAAAGACCTACTTTTTAATTTTTCCTGGAATTTTTCTTTGCCGAGGGCTTTGGTTAAGGCCCTCGGCAAAGACTCGCTTTTAATTTTTCTCGAATTTCTTTGCCGAGGGCTATGGTCAAGCCCTCGGCAAAGACCAAAGTGAAAATTTTCAACATTCCACTGCTTTCTTGCTTTCCATGCGGATAAAAATATATATATATATATTCAGCAAGTAAATATCCCACAAATATCACAATCATCACATATATCTCACAAATATCACATATATCTCACAGATATCACATAGATCATCACATATATCATCACAAGTCCAAATTCAACAATTCCATAAGTCCACAATCTAACTCAAGTGTCAAGTCCACAAGTTCAAATCCGGTGAGGTGGCCAACCTCTCCAACCGTCTCGCCTCTGCGTCACCAACCTTCCCAACCGTCTGCCTCTGCGCCGAGGGTGGTGTAACGTAAGCCTCCGTAATCGGTGGACGACGAGGGGGTTATTGGAACCCGCTGACCGAGGCTGCACAAACAATTATATGCTTATGTGAGATTGCGATAATTATTCTAGGACTATAGTTTTAGTATTTAGACGAAACCTATCAAATTTTTTATAGCTAGTGTTGTGCGGGTTTCTATGTCATACAAGCAAATCAAGAGCTAGTGTTCTCTCGGGTTTCTATGTCACACAAGCGAGAAGTGAACTTTAACGCTTACAGAGTAGTCGCAAACGCTGCGTGCGGCACCCGAGGCGGAGGAGCCGACATCTGCACAGCACACCCGTCTTACGCCCAAGAGCTTGCATGATTTGCATCATTTCGCAATCCCGACCTCCTGGGCCTCCCGAGCGGCTCGCCGCTCGACCTCCACCGAAAGCGGTGAGGGCCATGATCTCGCGCTTGTCTTCTCGTTGTTACGGGCCTGCAATATTGCACTCCAATATTTCAGTAATGCAAATCTAACTCAAGTGTGAGAATATTAATTTACGACGAGTAAAACAAGAATTACCTCGAGCGCATCGACCCGCTGCAGTGTCGGAGTAGGCCGTGAGCGTATGGGCTGGCTGGAACTCGTGCTCTGTGCTCGGAGCTGGCTCAGAGTGGGAACAGTGGTGGGGGTCGATGGCGGCGTTCGCAATCCACGAATAATCTTCATGATTGGGATTATAGGTCTCGTCATCACTGTCAACATTATCCAAATAGGCAACACTATCCGAAGGTTCTATGTTATCGTCCTCGTCACTTGCTACAAGTAATCGCTCAAGCATTTGTATGTCCTTGGCATTTTGCACCACATCTCCATCGTCCTCGTCATCAACTGTTTCGTTGTCTACTTCCATTTCGAGGGCCTCGGGTAGGACTATCTGAAGCGTCCCCGGTAGCCCATCTTCCTGATAGAACTCTCCATCATATGTGTTTGTGTTAAAGTTGTAATCGTCATCGTTAGGGGTTGGTAGTTTGCCGTGTGGAGAAACCTGGTGCACAATAGCCCAACCCTGAAGCTCCTGTTTGGCTTGGTTGGCATATCTCGTGTAATACACCTGCACGGCCTGTTGAGCCACAATGTAGATGTCTTTTCCCGGATAAACGGAATCTTCTCGCACCTCGACTAGCCCAAGATGAGGGGTCAGTCTCGTTTCGCGAGGATTGAACCAGTGGCATTTGAACATGACAGGTTTAAGAGGTTTGTCACCATCAAATTCTAGTTGGTAGATCTCCTCAACTCTTCCATGGTAGTCGAGACCATCAGTGCCAGGCGTACAAACTCCGCTATTTGTGGGTTTCCGATTGGGCCGGGTTTGCTCGTATCTTGTTGTGTGGAAACGATAACCATTCACGTCATATCCGGTAAATGACTTCACCCTAGCTTGGCAGCCGTTCGCAACTTGTTTCAACTCATCACTCATGGACGAATCGGTCTGGGCCTACAAGCTCAAACATGATAGATCGTTATATTCGAATATCGAATGTACAAGCTAAATTGGACATTACCTTTCGTTTAAACCAAGAAATGAAATCAGGCCTATCCGCTCCCACGCCCCGCGATAGAAGGGTGTCTTGTTCCTGTGGGGTAGGATCCCTAGGTTCATGCCAGGATTCACGAACAAATTCCCTGTTGGAGCGAGAATCAATAGGGTTGGACGTTGAATAGTAATGGCGTATTGAAACAAGATCATTGAGAACTTACTTGATGAAAGGTTGCACCTCAGTAAGGTTATTCAACACGTATAACATGATACTGCGCCACCGAGTTGTCCTTGGAAAAGGCCGAGGGTCGATTCATTTTCATCAGCATTGTAACGAGGGAGTGGATTTTGATTGCTAGGAAGGTTCGGCTTGTAGTACAACATTGTGAAGTTTGCCACC